TTCTGTGTCATAGGTAGGTGTGTGTGTGTGTTTGTGTGTGTGTGTGTGTGTGTGTGTGTGTGTGTGTGTGTGTGTGATAGGCTAAGGGGCTGGAAATCTCTAAGCAGTTGACCAATCACAACAGAGATGGCCAACTAACCAATCAGAGCAGACTGGGCTCTGCTTTCAGACAGAGGGTGAAAAGTGAAGTGACTGTTATTTTGTATATATTGATTGTTGTGCTTTTATTTATGTCTTAATGTGTGCATATATAAATGTGTCTGTTGAGTGTGTGTGTATATAGGTATATACATATTTGTATATATATTTGTATATATATTTGTATTTTTTGTATTGTGGGAAACGGTATTTCGATCTCTCTGTCTGTACACACACTGGAAGATTGACAATAAAATTGACTTTGACTTTGAAGAGGTGCTGCAGCACAGGCAGTATGAGGAAATAAAGAGCTTTCTGAACCTAATACAAAATGAACCTGAAAGTTAGCGTGTTATGTCCTCTATAATAGATCATTATCTGGCACTGATGCTATTGTCCAAAACACATTATCGCTGTTCTTGAGTGATCCTCCTCGGTGTCCAGTAAATGTAACGAGTATGAAAAGAGAAAGAAAAAAAACATCCATTTGTAGTCCAGTGGCTCTCGCTCCTTCTAAAGTTGCTCCAGCAGGGAGGAGAAGAGCCTGCTGGGAAATAAAAGAGAATAAATGGTGCATTCAAGTGTCTTCGACAGAATGACAGAAGAAGACTGATAGAGACAGAGAAGGAAACAAACAAGCTTGTAGTGAATCAATAGTTGTTTTATAGGTGATTGATGGATGTAGAAAGTAGAAGAGTCAACCACAGTTCCTGCTACTAATATTGTTTACTCTGTGACCTTTATTTCGTCTTCTACACCTCAGACATCATCGTACTCATCGCCTCGGTTGCTGTGGTTTCGGCCGGTAGTCAGGGCAACATCGTTGCCACTTCTGCGCTGCGTAGCCTGCGTTTCCTGCAGATCCTGCGCATGGTGCGCATGGACCGGAGGGGGGGCACCTGGAAGCTGCTGGGGTCTGTAGTTTATGCACATAGTAAGGTAGGGTCATAACAACAGCTTCTTTTCCTCTGAACCTTTATTTTTATGGTTCAGTTATTATAAATCTGTTAATCAGGCCGTGGATTATTGCATCATTTCCCTTGTATTTTTTACTTGTTTTGTTAACCTAGAAGCATTTTTATTCTTTATTAATCTTGAGGTACATTACTACTCATGCTAATCATCCAGTGTTTTATACTGTTGCACACAGAGTTTTAGCAAGTATTATACAATTTAAAGGGGACCTATCATGCAAAATGCACTTTTTGATGTCTTTTATACATAAACATGTGTCCCCGGTGTGTCGGGGAACTCACGCAGCGTCAGAAAATAAAACCCTCTCTCTTTTCCCCTGTACCCAAATCTCTAAAAACGGGGCTACAACGGAGCTGATCCAGATTTGCGTCCGATATGACGTAATATCTGAGATGTGGACCCACGGCCCTATCAGAAACAATGCCAATGTGGCCCCACGGCCCAATCAGAAACGTTGCTATCAGAAATAATGCCCGACTGTTTTGGACGTAATATGGTCGGTGTTTACATTAGCATCGCTAACACTCAGAGCTAGCCTGTACTGGGGAGCATGTGTGTGAAGAAGCAGGAAATAAAAAGGAACTCACCTTGTGGTATAACCGGCAAGAGAGAAAGCCTTTGAGCTCCATACTGTTTCAGAAATACTCCTTGATAATCCATGATATGGCGTTTCATCACGGCAGTATTTAGTTTAGACAGTAGCTGCCGGGTCCCGCATGAGCTCAGCCCCATCCTTTTTTTATTTTGTATTAATGTTTTAATAGACATGTTTTTTATATATTCTTATATATCTGAGACCTATGCTATTGCCTAAAAATAGCATGATAGGTGACCTTTAACATGTAGTATCTATATATTGAAGCAATAACTGAGTGATATTTACAGACAGGTGTTTGCCAGGACTGTTTTAGACACCAAATGTAATTAATTAGGAGTAGGCTTGGTCACAATAAGTTAAAACTGTAAGTATAGGTTACAACATTTTAAACAACATTGATTGTTTAGAAATGTGCTGTTTCACCAGCAACCAGGAAACGGTCAGAACACAAAGAGGGAAAGAAAATGTAGAAATGATAACTGTGAGGTTTCATGATTTTGAACAGCAAACTTTGTTATAAACTCAATTTAAAAACAAACAAGTGAGGAACAGCAGATTATTTTCTTCCTGTTGCTATACAAAGTTAGTAGTTAAACTGCAAAAAATACACTCTTTTTTGTCAAAAGAGAGATAAAAACAAATTGCTTCCATACAAAGAAGAATGAAAAACGACATATTCAATTCGATTGAAATCAAGATTAAGAAAAGACTTCTCTTTCTAACTTAGCAAAGGGCTGTAAAATCCTTGAATAAATATAATGTTTTTCTGTGTCTAATAGGAGCTGGTGACTGCCTGGTACATTGGGTTCTTGGTGTTAATCTTCTCCTCGTTCTTGGTCTATCTGGTGGAGAAAGAATTCAACCAAGAGTTTGCCACGTACGCCGACGCTCTGTGGTGGGGAACGGTGAGCACACACACATTAATACACACATTCAATGGAGTGTCTTTATCTCCTCGTGCCTTTTAATTAAACAGCTGCTGAAATAAATGCTACTGGACTGGTGGTCACATCTCTGAAAGCTTATGATATTTTGTTATTTAATCTCAACAAAAATCGTAGTGGTACTTGCCCCCAGTGTAGAGGTACGCCTGGGCATACCAACAAAACATCTTAAAGGTAACTTTAAACAATAAATAACAAAACAAATACAAGTTTAGTTTTTCAAATATTTTAATATACATTTCGATTGAATTGCTTGATTTGTCAAAAGGAAAAGTAATCATACACATGGTGATACAATTTCATACATCTTACCAATCAAACACAGGGTAAATTCAACTTTAAATATAGCCTACTACAATGAGCTCTTATTATCAACTGTGCCTACTTTCATTGTGCTCATTGTGAACCACCGGCTCAACTTACCCCAAGGCCCATGGCTCACTTTACCCCATAGCCACCATTTTAGAAAGAATTGCCTAGCTTAAAAATTCAGTCATCTTTAGCTTAATGATTCACATGGTTTAATACGTTGCCAACACATCAACATATACAATATATGTTTTTAAACCTGGATACATTTTGTTTGACATGAAAGCCGATATAGCTGACATCTAGAAAATGTTTTTTTGTAAAAATGTTGACTTACCAGATCACAATAAGCATCTCTCTGTCACAGCCAAAGAGAAATGGGAGGAGCTTGCACCATTTCTGGTCACGTGATTACAACTATAAAGCGTTGCCTGGTTACAGAGGGTGGTTCAACTTACCCCCTTCTCCCCTACATGGCATGAATGTAGACCTTTATCCATTGTGTACGAGAATTGTAATCAATCTCTCCCTTTGGTTCCTTGCAAAAGAAAAATAAACAAAATTGAAACCTGACTGATTCATTTCTATTCACAGTTTCTGTTTGACCTTAATGAAACATGCATTGCAGAAACCACCAGGAACGGCTTGTTGTGTCGCACTCGGCTGGCCGTAATGCTCTATTTCCCGCTACATCTGAAACCCACTCAAACTTCATAAAACACACAAACAAGAAATGGCACAATCAATGAATTCAATTTTCTCCTGAATGACACTCAGACGCACAGTGTACCGACGTTCGGGGGTCCGGGACCACTGGGCAGTCTCCATGGAGATATGCACTTACCATCATTTTCTATAAACTGATTATATATATCCTTTTCTATAGTGCATCTTTTTTTATACACACAGTCTTTAATGCCACACAACATTCAACACGTTATATCACATTTGAATGAATATGCTTGTTTAGAAATGGGTTTTCATTCAATCCAGCACCAACAACAAGCTTGTTATCTGTTTTTAAATACTTTAATTCTATTGTGTAATGGTTAGCAAACCTTTTTGAATTAACACAAGGCTTTGTAAGATTACAGATGTCTTCTTTCATACATTTGCAATTTTTCCTTATTACCTCTAAAGTCAAGCATTTTCTACCATGAACGGCAGCAAAACACCAGCTTATGCTCTCAAAAATGTCCACGGAAAATCTAGGAAATAACACCTACTTTATCAATGCTTCTGTTTGCTCGTCATAAAGTAATGCAACACTGCAGTTGTAAGTGATGAAGCAGACTGATGATGATTCGTAAGTTCCAAAAATCACAATTTTATGCTTTTGTATAGTGAGTAATGAGTGAGCGAGCGTGGTCAGATTTCAGTCAAAGCCCTGATTACCTTTTCTGCTGACCTCTGACCCTTCAGATCACCCTGACAACCATCGGCTACGGTGACAAGACCCCGCGGACGTGGACGGGACGGTTGTTATCCGCCGGGTTTGCTCTGCTGGGGATTTCCTTCTTCGCTCTGCCAGCTGTGAGTCAAACACTACAGTACACACATTACTAAGCCGTGACTGAAGACATTTACTCTAATTCCACATCCCACAGAAAGTGCGTCAGCCGTTTAATCAAATGTTGTCGTGGCCAAACGGTGATACCATCACATCCATGTTAGTTATGTGAAGCCTTGGGCTAAAAGTAGTTTTCAAATTGACTTACATAGGGAAAGACACATCTGTAAATCAGCGTATTTCTATTAGGTAAATCCACTTTCCAATTACAGAGGCATCACACTACTCAGCCTCCCCGGGAAAGTTTACTCTAAGGTACTCGAAAGGAGGGTCAGGCCGATTGTCGAACCTCAGATTGAGGAGGAACAATGCGGATTCCGTCCTGGTCGTGGAACAACGGATCAGCTTTTTACTCTCGCAAGGATCCTGGAGGGGGCCTGGGAGTACGCTTATCCAGTCTACATGTGTTTTGTAGACTTGGAGAAGGTGTATGACCGGGTTCCCAGGGATTCACTGTAGGAGGTGCTGCGGGAGTATGGGGTGAGGGGGTCTCTACTCAGGGCCATCCAATCTCTGTACTCCCAAAGCGAGAGCCGTGTCCGGGTCCTCGGCAGTAAGTCGGACCCATTTCAGGTGAGGGTTGGCCTCCGCCAGGGCTGAGCTTTGTCACCAATCCTGTTTGTAATATACATGGATCGGATTTCGAGGCGTAGTCGTGGGGGAGGGGGTCTGCAGTTCGGTGGACTAGGGATTGCACCACTGCTTTTTGCAGATGATGTGGTTCTGATGGCTTCATCGGTCTGCGACCTTCAGCACTCACTGGATCGGTTCGCAACCGAGTGTGAAGCGGCTGGGAT